CCATCTGAAACCTAGGGTCTAGGGATCAAGGAAAAAATTCCCCAAGGAAGGGGAGTTTTTTGTTTTTGAGGCGAGATCCCAGAAATGTAGCTTGTTTCATATTTTAGGCTTTTTATTTTTGTAAGATGTGTAGAATATGCTGTTTTTCTTTTTATTTTGACAACTCAGGAAGAAACTGACCTCCGAAAGAATGTTAGACTTTGGCTGCTCTCCTGTGTGCCCCCCTACTCCTGCCCTCGCCCCTCCCCCCACTCCATTCAGGGGAGCAAATTCTCCCAGACACTCAAAAGAAATGGGACTTATGGGGAAGGGGAGAGGAAGACCAGAGGCCTCAGTGAAACCCTAGCTATTCCTGGGCAGAAGCAGAATGTATTCCTAAGGGCTTCCTCCCCAGGGCCAAGGCCTAGGCATGAGTGTGGGGAGTGGGCTGTGGGGTTTGAGAGAGGGGAGGCCTTATTCCCCTCCTGCTGCTCCCCGTCCCCTCCCCCACTCCCACCCCTCCGCTGAATGTTTTCTGTGAAGGGCTATCCAGAGTTAGGATGCCTTTGCCCAGTTTACTTCCTGAGACCCAGAAAGTAGGCTGGGAGGGCCCAAATGTGAGGGTGGCCTAAGCAGAAAGTCTCCAGAGAGGTCCCGTCACCTGGCCCCGCCTTGGCAGAGGTCCCCAATGACTTATACTAGGAGAATTCCATCTGGGTAAACAGTCTGGACACAAAATCAGCTACTGGACCTTAGCCGCTTCTGCTGGGAAGCTCTGGGGAGGGATGAGCATCCCTTACTGAGGGGGCTCTGTGAGGAAACATGCCTCCCCCATTCCCCTGGAGTCCTAGGTCTGGAGCACCAGAGATGGGAGAGGGGAGGGAGATGGACAGGGCGTTTCCTTTGACCTGGGGGGAGGTCTCAGTCCTGCCTGAACATTCCACCAGGCTTGGAGCCCTTCTCTCTGAGAACCACATTCCTCTCCTTCCCACCAATTTTCCCTTGATGAGGCTTTAGCAGTTTGCTCCCCCACCCCACCCCAGCCCATTTCACAACTCTGATCTTTGGTCCAAAGTGGGGAACAAGCCCTCCCCGCCTCTTTTTCTCTCTCCCACCTCAGCCTCCCTTCCAGTTCCCTGCCTGCCCGTAGGTTTCCTACAGAGTCCACTGCCTCTCCTCCTGGCTGGGAGGGTGTCTGTGGGTGACCTTTCAGGGACCCTGGCACCCCGGGCCTGTGCTGGCCAAGGAGTGCTGACTGGAAGGCTGCTCTGCTTTCCCCGCTTCCCTTCCCTCTCTCTTTGGAGCCAGCCGACTGCAGGGCTTTGGTGCCTCAGAAGCAGTGGGCTGCAGGATCACAGCTGCAGGCTGCAAAAGACCCTCGGAGGGAGCATGGAGTGAGGGGTTCTCTCTCAGGTGTGTATGTTTGGGGGGTGGGGGGTGGAGGGTGTCAGGGAAGTTGGGGAGGGGATCCCAGCCTTCCCTTCAAGAGGCAGGCAGCTCTGGGAGGTGGAGTCCCCACCACTTCCTCTACTAGGCTCCTCCTGTTCCCCAGGCTTGGGGAGCTTTGCACAAGGACACCCCCCGCCCCCCCCCCCCCGGCCTAGTGGCACCTACCTCATGGGCACTGGGGCAGGCAGGTAGGGGAAGGGCCGGTCCAGTTCTGGCAATGTTGGGGGGGCATACCAAAGAATCCAGGGGCAGGAAGTGGGGAGGGCAGCTTCCAAGCTGGCCACTCCCCTTCTTCTACCCAGACTGGGGCTGGGATCCTCTCCTCCCACTGTAACCATTTCTACCTCATTTTGCTGCGTGTTGTACATGGACGTATTTATCTCCTGTCTGACGATGCTCTGCAGTTGTGGTCTACCTCAGAAGAGACTGTATTTTAAAAAAAAGTATTACACAGTATTAAAGTGATGACATGTGGTTTGCAGAAAATTTCTTGGGGGCAGTGGAATGTGGGAGCCCTCTGGAAGATGTTTGGGCACCCAGCTCTGCTGGTGTCCTGGGTGGGGTGTTCCTAATGTCCTCAGGAACAAGGACTCCTGTGACTCGCTGTGACACAGTGAGTGCCTACAGGAACGGGCACTGAGGGTGGGGTGGGGGAGAGAAGTCCTGGGTAAGGGGCCCTCCTGCCGTTCTGAGCTCTGACACTCAGCACTGGGGCAGACTTATTGTATCCCCAGAGCCACAAAATAGCGGGGCAAGGAAGAGCTCACATGTTTGTTAAATGAGTGAAGAAATGATTGCATGGAGGAAGTCAGGGTTGCTGAAGAGGCGGGGGCATCCAGAACCTGCAGCAGCCCTTATTGAATAGAGCTAGGGTTATACTTGTATTCCATTCTCAGGGGAGATAAAGTGGGCAGAGGGCAGGGTGTGGAGACAGCTAGTTCCAGTATTTCAGGTCACGTGGTGTCCTTTGTCTACCATCGCCCCATCCATCAGTCCCCTAACACTATCTGTGACAGCTCATCATAACCTGGGAGACTGAACAATCTAGGAAGGAACACTTGCTGAAAAAGCTCTGTAGAGATGCCCATGAGAGATGTGGACCCACAACTGCTAGGTCCTTGAATACGCTAGGCAAGTTTTTAAGCATGCCCAAGAGCACAAGGGCAGTGGTGCACCCAGGCTCCCTGCTGTGGCTCACTGCACACTTACAGGAGGCAGGGTGAGCACCAGCGAGACCCTGCAAAACAGAAAAGGACACAAATGTGAGTGTGCCTGGAGGTGGGGGCTCTCAGGCACTGCCCCAGAGTCCAGTGACCACAAGCCTCTCTGCTCTTGGAGGTCCAGACCCACCTGCCCCCACTCCTCTTCTCTGTTTTGCACCTTACTGTATGCAGACATTGGGCTTGGCACCGAGGATACAGAAGGGGTCAAGCACCGCTCTGTTCCTGGAGAGTCCATGGTCTAGGTGGGAAAAGCTCAAAAACTGATCAGTTAAAAAATACAACTGGGCCGGCCGTGGCGGCTCACACCTGTAATCCCAGCACTTTGGGAGGCTGAGGCAGGTAAGATCACCTGTGGTTGGGAGTTCGAGACCAGCCTGACCAACATGGAGAAACCCTGTCTCTACTAAAAATACAAATATTAGGCGGGTGTGGTGGTGCATGCCTGTAATCCCAGCTACTTGGGGCTGAGGCAGGAGAATCGCTTGAACCTGGGAGGTGGAGGTTGTAGTGAGCTGAGATCATGCCACTGCACTCCAGCCTGGGTAACAAGAGTGAAATTCTCTCAATAAATAAATAACTATAACTGGATAAAGCTACTGGGGGTGGAGGACCACATCAAATTAGTCTTTGTATTCACACACCTAGTGCAATTATCTGGTACACAGAAGATACTGAATAAATGTTTGTTGAACAAATCCTCTAATTTCCAGATAAGTGCCCTGGTGGAGGATGCACAAGTTATGTCAAGAATGCCCAGAAATGGCTGGGGATGCGGTGGCTCACACCTGTAATCCCAGCACTTTGGGAGGCCAAGGAGGATGGATCATTGAGGTCAGAAGTTCGAGACCAGCCTGGCCAATATGGTGAAATCCAGTCTCTACTAAAAATACAAAATTAGCTGGGCCTGGTGGTGCGTGCCTGTAGTCCCAGATACTCAGGTTGAAGCACGAGAATCACTTGAACCTGGGAGGTGGAGGTTGCAGTGAGCCAAGATCACGTCGATGATCCAACTTGGGTGGAGGCTGGAAACTGCATTATATGTGCTGTGCCATGAGCCTTGTGTTACAAGTTAGTGAGGGCAGCAGTCAGAGGAGTGAGGCTGGAGGAGTCAGTGGGGACCTCACCATGGAGGGCCTTCCATGCCCTGTTAGGAGCTGGGGCTCCATAGTGAAGCCTTTGTGGAAGTTTAGGCTGAGGACAGGACTGATTTTGTAAGTTAAGAATTCATTTTACCAGCAGTGTGAAAACAGACTATTAAAAAAAAAAAATCCACACAATGGCCCTGCATGGTGGCTTATGCCTGTAATCCTCACACTTTGGGAGGCCGGGGCAGGAGGATCTCTTGAGCCCAGGAGTTTGAGACCAGCCGGGCAACATAGGGAGGCCCTATTTCTTAAATAGAAATTCACACATTGACTCAACAAATCTTTATGAACACTTATGCTCTAGTTGCCATGGGGGCAGTGTATGGACCTTGCAGTCCAGTGGGGGAAGACAGTAAAAAGACTGAGCTGCCTGTGCCGTGGGGCAGATAGGAGGAACCCCTAATGGGGATACCACTAAGGAGTGTGACTCAGAATCAGGGAGAGCTTCCCAAAGGCACCTGACAGCAGGAGGAGTGCAGGCCACGATCAGGAGAATCAGAGTCAAGCTTCCTTGGGGGAACTGGAATAAGTGCAGGTAGGCAGGGCCCCAGTGGGTGGGGGCAGGGGTGGGGGCTGGAAGACCAGGCAAGAGAGGAGGGTTTGGACTCACGCCAGAGTGGGGGAATGGGATGATGGATTCATTTGATGAATACTAAACTTTAGTATTTGGTAGACAAGAGGAGAATTTAGAAATTGAGGCCAGGCCAATGGCTCATTCCTGTAATCCTAGCACTTTGGGAGGTGGTGGCAGAAGAGGAGGCCGGAGTTGGAAACCTGCCTGGGCAACATAGCAAGACCTTCATCTGCACAGAAAAGAAAGACAATGTAGGAATTGATTGAATATCTAGGTTAATGGAGATCAAGGGGTCTAGGGCTTCTGGTAAAGAGAGGAGGGGTTGGGCAGTACATGAATTAGAAGCATGTTGGTAATTTGTTCAGTTTGAAGTATTAGTGGGTATTAGGAGGCGTAGGGCGGGAGCGCCAATGTAAAGGCTTAGACTCCTAGCCTCCTGGAGGGCTGAGAACCCCCTTCCGGGGTGTTGCAATCCTTCTAACTCCAGTTCCTGAGTTTCGTGAGACCCTCCAACAAGTGCTATATTGGAGCCCCGCGTTGCTGGGTGTTGCCAGCCCCCTGGTCACCAGTTACCTCCTCCACTTGGCTTCCCGAGTGTTCGGAGCCTTCTCCCTCCCACAATCCGCGGGCGTTCGGAACCCCTCCCCCACCGCGGGCGCTCGGAGCCCGTTCCTGTCCCCGCACAGTTCTCCCTCCCTGGTTCCCACCAGGGATGGCGGCGCGGACTCCGGCGGGCGCCTTGGTCCTGGCGCTCTGGGTTTGGTCGCTGGCTCCGGCGGGGGCGCTGGACGCCATGGGCCCTCACGCGGCGGTCCGTCTGGCCGAGCTGCTGACCCCGGAGGAGTGCGGCCATTTCCGGTCGCTCCTGGAGGCGCCCGAGCCCGACGTGGAGGCCGAGCTGTCCCGGCTTTCTGAAGACCGGCTGGCGCGGCCGGAGCCGCTCAACACCACGTCGGGGTCTCCGAGCCGGCGGCGGCGGCGGCGGCGGCAAGAGGCGGCCGAGGACCGGGCGGGCGGGGCGGCAGGGTCCGGGGAGGTCTCCGATGGCTGCCGGGAGGCGCTGGCGGCCTGGCTGGCCCCCCGGGCCGTGTCCCTGTCCTGGGACCGCCTGGCTCGGGCCCTGCGGCGCAGCGGCCGCCCCGACGTGGCCAGGGAGCTGAGCAAGAACCTCCACCAGCAGGCGACGCTGCAGCTGCGCAAATTCGGGCAGCGCTTCCTGCCTCCTCCCGGCGCCGCCGCCCGACCGCCCGATCCCTCGGCCTCGCGCCCCGGGCGCGCCGCAGTCCAAGCGCTGGACTGGGACGCGCTGGAGCTGATCGTGGAGCGCCAGCCTCTGCCCCGGTACAAGCGGAGCCCCACGGCTTGGGCGGGGCCGCTGGCGCTCGGCCTTCTCACCGGCTTCTTGGGGGCGCTGAGCACCGGGGCGCTGCTCGTCCTGCTCACGCTGTGGATCACGGGCGGCGACGGCGACCAGGCGTGGCCCGCCAGCTCCCGCCCGCCCGCCACGGTGCAGGGCTGGTGGGAAACAAAGCCGCTCCTTCCTAAATAGCGGCGCGCGCGCCCCTGGAAGCCTGGCTGCAGATGCGCCAGATCCTCCCTCACCTCAGTGCCCTTGCCCTCAGCGGTAAAATGGAAGCAAAGTCCTGCGTGAGTGGTGCTTTGGACGGTTTATAAACGTTATGAAATACCGAAAGGACAGAGCAGTTTTTTAATCCGTTGGAAGGGAGCGGCGTCACCCGTGGGACTGCCGGTGGAAGAGGGGCTCCGGTGCCAGTCTCCCAGAGTGGCAGGCACACCGCCCAATTTTTGTCAGCTTAGTTCCTTTTTTTTTTTTTTTTTGAGACGGATCCTCGCTCTGTTGCCCAGGCTGAGGGCAGTGGTGCAATCTCTGCTCACTGAAACTTCTGCCTCCCAGGTTCAAGGATTCAAGCGATTCTCCTGCCTCAGCTTCCCTAGTAGCTGGGTCTACAGGCACGCGCCACCACAACCCGCTAATTTTTGTGTTTTTAGTAGAGATGGGGTTTCGCCTTGTTGGCCAAGCTGGTCTCCAACTCCTGGGCTCAAGTGATCCGCCTGCCTGGCCTCCCAGAGTGCTGGGATTCCAGGCGTGAGCCACCGCGCCGGGCAGATTCCTTCTGAGCTTGCAATTATTCTTCCACGAAGAGCTACCACTTACTGAGCACGGCGTGCCAGGCCTCATGCCAAGCAGTTACATACATTATTTGATGTACTCTTCAAAACCCAAGAAGGAAGGTATTACTCCATCACACATGCGTAAACTCTGCCACAGCTCGTTAGTGGCATAGTCATGTTCTCGAACTTATGGCCACCTGACCTGAAAGTTTGAGCTCAGAAGGAAAGGTGTGTGCGCGATAAGGGGCTTGAAAAACATGATGGGGACCAGAACAAGATGTGCAGCGCCCCGTCGGGGCTACTTTAGGGCCCTGCTGGAGTGTGCGGAAGCAGCACCATTAGAAAGGGGTGTGCCCACGTGCAGGGCGCCGCCTCCAAGGTGCTGCCCCCCTCAGGCAAGGCCTCCTGACAGGCTGAGTGGAGTCCTGAACCTTTCCCACACACCTGGGAGTGGCTAGGGCACTGCCAGCCCCGGTGAGCCTTCGGGCAGACTCTGTCCCCGCCATAGGACAGAGTGGGGTCCTACGAGGTGATGGTGCCTGTTCACCCTGGGCTTCAGTGTGAGGGGCAATGACAGAATGACAGGCCAGTCCAAGAGGAGAGTTGAAAACAAGATTGACGTAACCCTTTATTGCAAATTCTAAAGTAAAAAGATGTACAGTACAAAGGAAAATTGAAATTTCATACTATAAACTTCCAATCCACTTACACGTTCTCATTTCTCAAGCATTTCTGCCATTTCCGCATAAACAGAACAGGGAACAAGTTGAGGAGGTGAGGGAAGGAGATACAGCAAGGGGAAAAAATTGTCTCGAATAATCACAAACCCCAGAAGCAAGTGAAAGGAAAGACATTTTCTCGACCTGCTGTCCTGGTGATGAGAAGCGGGGGTGGGTGGAGCAGTGCAGTTTAAAATGGCTCTCAGAATAGCAGCATTTATGGTACCATTTCAGCTTCCTTGAGTCCAATAATTCTTTGCCCTTCCCTTGTGCCTTTGCCTCTGTATCTCAAAACGCTTTACAAAACATTTAGTTAAAGCCTCACAACACCCCTGTGAGGTAGGTCAGTATTATTATCCCCATTTTACAGATGGGGAAACTGAGGCACAGAGAGGTTAAGTGACTTGCCCAAGGCCACACAGCGAGCCAGTGGTCAAGCTAGGGCCAGAACACAGGAGTTCTGTCCCTTTTCTGGAACCACTGGACCACGCTCCCCTTTACCTATATACATTCTTCACACACACACACACACACACCACATGTGTACACCCACCCACCCCACCCCACTTAGCCTCTATGTACAGCAAACAGCAGTGGGGGGCAGGGGCAGGGGCAGGGGGTGCCTCAGGAATTTTAATGGAGGAAATCTTGGTAATCTTGGAAAGAGAATCCAAGAAAGCACAGAGCTGAACAATGGAGACTCTGTTGCAAACCTTGGGCCCCTCCCAATGCAGACTTCCTCTTCTTTCCTGATGTCCCCCTGGCTGGCGAGTTGCAGCCAATTCTTTAGGGGGTGGGGGGTACCTGAAAATGAACAAAGCTTTTTGCTAAACTGTGGGCAACATCTGAGAAAAGAAAGAGGCATCATTACAGAAGATGCCCAGGACTCAAGTCACAAAGTCATGACCCATGGTGATCTCACCTCCACAGCAGGACGGGAGGCTGGGGGCCGGGGGTGGAGGATGGGGACTGACCTACCAGCCATCTCGCCCCAGATTGGAGCTACTGGAGCTGACTAGAGTGGGCACTTCGAGATCCTCCTGAGAGAGTGTTCCTGAACCAGGAGACCTGGCCTAGGCCTAGAGAGGGAGGTCCCCAAAGGGGGACAGGGAGAGAAGGAAGGGGAAGGGTGCCCACACCCCCATGCAAATGTGAAGGAGACCAGCCCTCGTCTGTGGGCCTGTCTGGGGCAATGGAGTGCAGGGCCCAGTATGAGCTTGCAGAGTGGAGGCTGCTGGGCATCGCGCATGCCCTAGCTTTGAGGCATGGGGGTAGTTTTTTTTTTTAAACATACAGGTGAAAAAGGCAGAAGTAAGGCCAGTCCAGCTGGGTTGGCTGACATCATCTCTGAGGGTTCTGCCAGGTGGATTAGGTGAGGAGGGGTTTATGAGCCTCTAAGCACCGGCCAGTAGGGGGAAATGCCACATGCAATGGGTGAGTGGGATCTGGGGAGTCAGGGCCTTGCTTTTCTTCGAATCTCTACTTCTCAGCCAGAACTTGGCGAGAGCCCCTTTGATTTCTCTTCCCTCCATTCCCCTCCTTTCCCCAAATGTGCTAAGGTTCCAATTCCCAGACCCCTCCCAGGACTCAAGAATTGGGATAGTCAAGCAACAAACACACCAAGACAGGCTTCCCTTGTACAGTAAAAAGGGTCATTTTTATTTTGTTTCCTTTTGGCTTAGAGGAGTGATGGACTTTTTATCACGTCTCATTAGGGCAGCATTGGCCTCCATGCATTCACTCACACTAATCTTCACTGTTGGTCTTTTACAGGTTTACGTTGGTTGCAGTGAAAAATAAAAGAACTCTGGGCACTGTTGGCTTTAAGGGGCTTTGCCTGGGAGTTTCTGTTTGTTTGTTTGTTTTTTTAAATCTCTCCCCAGCCAACTTCTGACACCAAAAGTGGCTCATTTGGAAAGGAGTGAGAGTAGGCCGTGCTAACATGGAAGTTTCTTCCTGCTCTCATCTGCTTTAAATTACAGAGTCTCCTCATCCTAAGCAACAAGGAGGTCAGGGAAAGAATAGGGGGAAATGTTTTTCACACACAACTACATCAGCTGCGGCCCAGTGGCTTTGGCTCTGCATTTTAAATTAACAGCATCACACGTCTTTTTGCTTTTTGTCCTTTTTTCAAAAGGTGGATTGTGGAGTATAAATACTGCACCAAGGACCTGGCTACAAAAAATAAATATATTTATATTATATTTATATATCTATATATATATGTGCAGTGATACTGTGACTGCTGCTGCTTTTTGATTGGCTTCGTTAATATTTGGCAAAGCGTTGCCACTTACCCACTCAGCGAAGATGCACAAAAACGTCATCGCTGATTCTTTCAGTTCAGTGCCTGTTAACTGCGGGTGTAAACTGCTGGTGATGGTGTCATTTACTACCAAAGAAGTGTGGAGCAGGATGGGTGAGTGAGTGAGTGAGTGAGTGAGCAGGTGGAAGGATAGTGCGTGAAGGATAAGGTGGGAAACTTTTTAAAAAAAATGTGAAACTTCAATTAGAGCGGAGGTGGCTTCTTTCCTATGAGGCTGGCTGATGGATGCCAGACACCAAGGCCCATGTGTTACTGAGGAGACAGCCTGCTGGGCTGGGGTCAGGAGCTGGGAAAGGGAAAAGGTCAGACCTCAGAAAAGTCTCGTCAATACGCTCTAGTAGCTTAATGACATCACTAGCATGAGCACATGGTGTGCTTAGCGGGATCTTATAGCTCTGCTGCCCATCTCAAGACCTAAGAACAATTATTAAGTTTAGCCAAATCTTGCATAGACGTGGTTAGAATTTATTGCACATTGGAACAAAAATATATATTTTTTGTTGTTTTGGAAAAGACCATTAGCAATAAAAAATTTTTTGTCTGTCTGTCTGGTTTGGGGATGTACATTGGCTGACAGCATCTAAGTTCTAAGAAGAAAGAAAAGTATAAAAAATAAAAATAAACATGACAATGGCATAAGCCAGAAGCCATTTCCTATTTAATAAGTTAATAATTTGTATTTACAAAAGGCATGCCAATAAAATAAAATTATATATTACAGTATTTATAATTCTCTTAAAAAGAATAACCACACATGTCAGCTTCTGTTTTGTGCTGTTTACAACGTAGCCTGTACATGTTACTATACATTCATCCTAGCAGTTAGCAGGGTCACTGAAAGATATGCCTTCCTGGTCTGGTATTGGGTGTAGTACAAAAATTCTATGGATGTTGCTGCAGAAGCAGGCTTAAGAGAGCTGGACAGAGTTTCTTGTGGTCCGACAAGTTAGAAAGCTCTGCTTACCAACTTACTGTGGTTTGTTCTACGCAAAACTAGTCAGGTGGACTGTGAAATTACCTTCAAAGTGCTTCTACTGCAAGGCAGATCGGTGTGTCTGATTATGGGTTGGTTCTTCTTCCCCCTCTAGTATATGGTTCAGGAAGAATTTATTTTGATTTGGTTCACATGCTAAAGTCTCTTTTCACTCTTTGTGTAGACTTCCTGACACATTCAACTGCAGCATCTTGGCTTTGAAATCCAGTCATCAGGTGAGAAACCCCTGGACTAAAAACTGTCTTTCCTAAAGCAGGAGATGGAATGGAAGATATGACGCTCCCCCAGAAGCCACACTCCAATGACAGCTGGCAGGTCGCTAAGCAGATAGCAAAACTGGCTGCAAGGGAATGCACTGGGGGAAGCTGGAACATCCTGAAGAATTAATATTAAATTGCTTTCTCATGAAAACCAGTGCAGTAAAGAAACCAAGTGGGCTTGGTTTAGAGGCGGCTCCATCTCTACATCAGGTCCCACCACTGACTATTATTCTAATAATAAATGAAAGAAACCACAGCCGTAACCCCAATGCTGCTACCCTCACCCACCTCTGTGGGCAAGGGAAGCCCTACTTGGTGGAGAAATGTGATGGAGGCAGGAGGAATCATGCAGTGTGTGAGTATGCGACGACCCCTCTGCAGAAGAGAGAGGTCCGTTCAGAATATCTGAACCCCTCGCGGTATCGACCCATGCCTGGAGAAAGCCACAATGCAGAGGACATGATGTGAAATGAAATGAGCACCCCATAACACCCAATGAAAGGTCATTTTAAGTTCCCCAAATTACCCCGAGAGATAACTGGTGCTACTTTGAACAGCACTTTTATCTCTACCCCAAACAAGTGTCAATTCTCCAGTATGAAGGCTAAAGGATCATCATAAATATTGCAAGATACAAATGAATTTTTCTTTTTTAGCCCTAGGATTTGGTTTTACAGTGACATAAATAGTACAAGCCATTTGGGATCAAAGTCTCCCCTATGTCCTGGACACAGAGCAGCATTAAACAGTTCATCTTGCAAAATGTGTAACAATGGCTGTATGTTAGAGATGTCTGTTAAACACATACACGCAACGGATCCATCTGCTTGTTGGATTGGGTTTGTTTTTTGTTGTTGGTGGTGGTAGTCAATTAGTTGATTGTTTCCCTACCCAGAAGGTGTATGAAGGACTTTTAAGAACTCATAATAAAGAATTGTAGCCGGTATGGAACTCTTACCATTTTCTCCAAATACAGTGAACGGTGCAGGGCTGGGTCCTGTCCAAAGGCTGACCCAATGCAGGGGACTAGGTTAGTAGTGTCCTGTGGTGTATGGATCTCATGCATGACTTCTGATCACGGCATGCCATCATGCAAATCATCTCTACGCATTGAACGAGCACAATGTTTGGAATCGGCCTGAGCAAGTCCTCCTCAGCCTGAAGAAACCTGATTGTTTTCCCCCACCCATCTGCAAACCATGTGAAGCCCATGTGGAGATGATGCAATTTATGTCAAAGAAACTGACGATTAAATGACATGGGCTAAATGTGAGTGTCTGTGTGAGTGTGTGTGTGTGTTTTCTTT